CGGTATACAGGGGGGGCCAAAAAAAAAAGACATTTTGCCTATGTCGGACTTCGGCTCTTTTTTCTTCGCAGAGATTGCTGTCGTTGACGGGAGTTCCTCAGCAGAGTATTCCCTAAGTGTCCCTCTATAAGTGAACACAGGCCCTCCTTCACAGCCCTCACCGTCTTCAGAATATGACGTCATCTGTCACCGTCGTCAGGCTCAAGGAGGTCTCCCGTAAGAGCTTCAGCCTGAAGCTCTTACGCAATTTCGTGAATCGATTTAATGTTGCTTGTAGTCTCGTGGGACGGCCATCGCGCTCACAACCCTCGTTCGCACAAAATTCCTCGAAACCTCAGCGGGGGGCCTCTCTCCAGGTCAACGCGGTCGTTATCGGGTACCACCGATCCGGGATCGAACGACCCCACCTGACGACTCGACCAGCTGCACCATCGTTTCCACCGGCGCAAATTCTCTATCGGATGCCGTCCACGATACTTGGCCCACCATAAAGCCATTCTCTTCTGTAGATCTTGATGCGGGGCGTGAAGGAAGATGAGAGCCATCGGTCCTGAACTTGAGCAAAACCGTCCTTAAAATGCTATCTGGAGTGGAGCCACAAAATGTCTTTCTTTTATTGGTACCGCTTCCCCCAGGGTATATACATGCTCCCATTTTATCGTACTCACTGCCTCAAAATGTATTTCAGTATTAGTTTTCGTCGTCGCTGAACGATGAACAGGTCATGGAGCAGTAGCTTTTTGTCGATAATTGATCGATTGGTGCCAAACTACAGTCCGAGGGTCATAAATCATTTTCGCGTCAGTGTGGCTCTCGTGAGCATCACTGCTTACGCGTGCGATTTTACACTCAAGCTATGACCGTGCATGCATTATTACGATGAAATCGGCCTGACGAGGAAATCGAGGCGGCGCCTTGTGTAACGATTGAAAACCTCCCCAGACTAAACATTCTGCACTCGACGCCTGTGAAATAAAAGGATCATTCGAGGCTGAATCGAGCAGTTGTTTTATTTTTATTGAGCCTTGATCCCAGCAAGGGGGAATGTTCATATGAATGCCGCACTGGGCTTTGCGGATCCATCTTAGATCACTCTATAAGGCAGGTCTCAGAGTTTACAACCAACCGCTGACGAATCAGGTTGCACTGGCGATATGGCGCGCGGTCAGTCGTTGGTGCATTGCTGTAAATTCGCAAAGTCTAACATTTGTCTGAGACTCGAGGAAATCTAGATACCGCCTACCGAGCTATAGTTTAACGAATTACCGAATGGGGTCAACAGCCCACCTCAGGACCCTGCTGCTGGTATATATTCCTCTCGAAAACTGAAATTATAAGTACCAACTAAATCGATACACAAGAAAAAAAGGACTAATTCCCTAGAAATCCTGACAATAAAAGGAGCGTTGCTCAAATCCGCGAAGGGTCGTATTTGAGTTTTTTTTGCGGTCATATTTTAGATTGATGAAGATTGGTAAAGGCAAGAGTATAGGAAGGAGGGGGAGGTCATAACTGTAGACGATAGGGTCTGATTGCGGAGAGGAGCCATCTGCCGTTTGTAAACCCATATACATTTATCACCCTTC